TCAAACATGTCAGACTTATTTTTCAGAGGATATAACCATGTATAACGAGTAAGATCATCAACAAAAATAACATAATATTTGAAATTTTGTGAAGACTTAACAGGACCAGGCCCCCACAAATCACTATGAATTTTTTCTAAAAGAAATTTAGAAACTGATTCAGAATTTTTAAAAGAAAGTTTATAACGTTTCCTAAGTTGACAACTGTTACATATAGTATTTTTAGCCAGCCAATGAAAAATGCTAATAACTTTCTTATTTTCTAAAAATTGCAGAAATTTTAAATTAGGGTGCCTTAAACGAGTATGCCATATATTCGAACTAACTCCTTGAGATTTAGTGGCAGTATAAGCTTCATCAAGTTGTCCCCTTTCAAGTGCATACAAATCTTCCTTCCTATGTCCTCTGGCTAGAATTTGATTCTTCTGATCCTTAATAACAAATTTGTTAGAATCAAAACTAATTGTACAAAAATTATCATCAACAATTTTAATTATAGATATCAAATTTTTCTTAATTTCCAGTACAACTAAAACATTGTTTAGTAAAAGTTCACCATGCGAAGTGTTCAATAAAGCTTTTCCAGTATGTGTAATAGGCAATTTTTGACCATTACCAACGATTAGAGAATTATTGTCAAAATAAGGTTTCAAGGAATTTAGTTTACCTCGTTTTACCATATGGGAAGTGGCACCAGAATCAGTGTAAAAATTTGGGTCACTCTTACTATTTAGATTCGTGGCTGCAAGGGCTTCTTGAACATTTTCCCCCTATGTATCGTAATTGCACCTGTAAAAACAACCAACAGTCGTGTGATTAGGTTGACCACATATTTGGCATGGTGCTTGACCGCTATTTTGCTTATTTTGGTGTCCACCCCAATTGTTGTCATTAGATTTGACAAAATTCTGATGAGGAGGAGGTTGACTGTTGCGATGTGGCTAGTTTCTTGTGAACGAGTTGTGACCCCGTGCTCTATGAGCACCTCTTCCACCACGTTGGCCTCTTCCTCTTCCTCTTTGTGCAAGGAAGGCTTGCTGATAGTTGAATTCTTGAGTCTCTTCTTTCACAAAAACCTGCTCAAAATTTTGCAAAGACATAACAAATTGATTAAAAGATGGATATGGTGGTTTTGATAACACCGCGATTCGAAAGGCTTTATATTTGTCTCCAAGTCCCTGTGCAATTTGAAACACTTTATCAACATCACCGAGAGGTTTGTTAATTGCTGCAAGTTTGTCACAAATATATCAAATTTGCAAGTTTGTTATTTGTGCAAGTTTCTTTCCATTTAATAGTATTTGTTAACAAGAATCTTAAAAACGGGTCCATTCTTTGTAGAATTAAAATAATTAAAAAGAGTTCCCGAGTAAGAGTATTCTTACTGTAAATTTTTAATGACTGAGGATTTCTATTTCAATGACCTAAGGAGGTGCTGTCCAAAATTCAATCGCTCAACGAACTTCATTTTGTCTTTTTTCGTTGATGTGTGTGAAAGCGTATCCTCAACAAGCCAAGACTTAGTTGATCCCGTTTTCACAACAATCATAGTCTAATAAGTAATAGTTATTACTGTTATATAATCATCAAGTCTCACTTGGGTTACTTGCATACTGTGTAATGTGGATGTCATGAGTTATTTTAAAAATAAGTTTCTAATATGGATTCAACAAAATACTTCTCATCTTCGTCCTGCATTGGCTAAATTGCATATTCATTATGGTATATATCCGAGATTCTATATTCGATTCTTCTCCATTTTTCACAAATTCGGACAAAAACGTACGGAGCACATTCTCTTAGACAAAGGAACGAAGAAAGAAAAAGACTTGGAATGTGCATATATTTATTGGTATCGATCTTCAGCCTTAGAAGGCTAACCATTGTTCGCCGCAATGCATAATGCGACCAATGATTTAGTAAGGATTAAAAAAAAATTAAAATATATAAAACAAGAACAAGTTGCCATATGAACTAACAGAATACAAAAAATCAATACTTAATTTGATACCTTGAGAGCATTTGCATCAGAAGAATAAAACTCTTCCGGTACTATTTATAAGTTATCTTTTAAAGTTTCATTTGATGTCTTTAAGGTTACATTTAATGCCTTTAAAGTTTCTTAAATTTTTTAATTTCAAGTTCACCCTCCATTAACTAACTTGACTCATTCCAGTTGGCAGTCCTAACTTTCAAATGAATGCTGTATTTTCAAATTTGTTGTCACTCAAGAAGTTAACTTTTTGAAACCGTCAGGGATAATCTAGATATTTCAACAGCTAATAAATGCTTTTCTTAATTTTGACAAAAAGTCAATTATGCCTTATAAATAGGACCAGAGGAAGTAATATGTGATAGGTAAATAATAACAAGCACCTAGGTATAATTTGCAAGGTGTATTTCATGGGCATGTGTAATACACTCTCCTTCTACACGAGTTGATTTATTTTTTTCCTAATTTTCAGTTATACGCGTATTAAATCCTCCAATTCTCATCCCATTTTTTTTCTCACACATTTAATTTTAAATCGTTTTCTTTTTTGCTTATCCTATTATCTTTTATATTATTTTATTTTATGAGAATTTTTTTTATATCTATGAATTTTATTTGCGTAAAATTGAATATGATTCATCATCGAGACTTATAAATCAGAAGAATCAATTGGAGAATTTGAACTGATTATCAATGAAATCTGGAGAATTAAGCGTCAAATATGAAAGATTTTAATAGATAATGACGTTTGTTCGGATAAATACTAGTATTTTTATCGATGAATAATGATAATATTGTGGATGAATAATGGTATTCTTATAGTAACAAAATTATGGATAAATAAATTTAAAATTTTGAAATGAATATAGATATCTACAAAGATGAATAACGAAGCAAATGTTGACCAATAATTATCACATCCAAGATGAATAACAATAATAAAATAAAGAATAGACATATATTTGCATGATGAATACACATATCTATAAAATTAATAACACATGTTCAAATGATGAATGACGTATATTTACAAGATGAATAACACTATTTTACATTATTAATAACACTAGTCATTATTTTTAACATATACGGTTTTGAATGATTCGCCGATGCTCAACACCTATATGTTGATTGTTTGATTTCAGCAGCTTTGCCAAATATTTGATTCCCGACCGATCGAGTTCATCTTGATGAGCATTTCTTTGCCGTTTATAAAAAAAAAGAACATTACAATAAGTGAGATTTCACATTCAATAAAAACTCTGTTAATCATCAATAACAATGCTATTGAAGATGGATAATCATTTTTAATCATTTTGAAAATGATGAATAAACATTAAAATTACATAAATCGAATCCAGTTGATAACAATCGTGTACGGTACATGTTACATGATTAATAACAACATAACTGGTGATGAATGACATATACTTATATGATGAATACACATATCTACGGAATGAACAACACATGTTCAAATGATAAATGACATGTATTGACAGGATGAATAACACTATTTCACAGGATAAGTGACACATATTTACAATTGTGTACAATCACATATTACATGATGAACAACATCACTTGTAGTCTGTATCACAATTAGAATGAATAACAAAGCGAAAATAATGAATAATTAGAAATAGATGATGAATAAACATCTCACAAAAGAAGAAAATATGACTAAAACAACCCAAAATTGATAATGAATGATGATATCGAGATGATGAACAACCGCCAGAAATAGATAATGATGTCAAAATCTGATTTCCAAAATCAACCACAAATCGATGAACAAGACTAAAACATCGATGAACTAACATGTTTTAAAGATGAATAATGATATTAAACTGATGAACAAAGCTTAAATCTATTGATCTTTTCCAAAATCAACCACAGATCGATGAACAAAACTAAAAAATTGATAAACTAACATCATTAATCGATGATGAATGATGAATAAACATTTCGCAAAAGAAGAAAACACGACTAAAATAACCACACATTGATAATGAATAATGATACGGAGATGATGAATAATGCCAGATCTATGAATATTTTCTGAAATCAACCACAAAACGATGAACAAGACTAGAACATCGTCGAACTAACATATTTTAAAGATGAATAATGATATTAAACTGATCAATAGCACCTAGATCTATTAATCTTTTCCAAAATCAACCACATATGGATCAACAAAACTAATCGATGGGAATAATCTCAAATCTTTGCCACCGGACAAAATACAAAACAGATGAATAATCTCAAATTTTACTGTAATTCTCATATTCAGCAGCGTATATTGCAACCAAACTCACGAGATTTGATGCACAATTGGATTTCGTTTTCAAAAATACCGCCGATGAGAGGTTTTAATGTCAAATCCCTGCAGAGAATATTTTATTTTTTAGATTTTTTAGTTTGAGACGTCTTTAGATTGGAATAGGAAGTTGAATGGATATGATTAATGATGGCTGAAAATTAGGAGAGATATTAGGAAATAAAAAATTTAAAATTTTTTTTTCTTTTTTTTAACTTTTTTTTGGGCACGTGAATTTCAAACTAGGTAGAGCTCTATATTATAACTGATATATGATAACAATAATACAGATGTATACACAACTTGATCAGTGAACCTTCCGACGTACGTACGTTAGTCCATACTTACAAGTAAGATTATTAAATGAATCTGATACTTAGCCAAAGAAATTTTTGATGTTTGATACTTTTTAGTCTTAAAATAATTTTGGTGTTTGATGTATAAAAACTAAGTATAATACTCCCTCCGGTCCTTAATATAAGGCATTTTGATTTGTTTTAGATTTCACTTAGTACATATTTTTTATTGATAAAAAAATTTTAAAAATATATTTTCACATTCTTTGTGTTCTCTTGATTTTATAAAATATTTTTAAGGTTTTTTTATCAATTAAAATTGCGTACTAGATGAAAACCTAAAAAAAATCAAAATGCCTTATAATAAGGATCAAATGGAGTATATAAATGGGACACGACCAAGAGAAAGTACTAATTTGTAAGGCCAAATGCCAATAATCAATTCCCCTATTCAACTAAGAGGCAAATTTACGATAGTAATTTTTTTTTTATAATTATTTTTCATATTTGCTCAGTATCATCTCCTTCACTGAATTATAGAGACTTTGATGTGTGGAAAAGCTGATTAGTGCTAGTATTTGCACATTTGCATATGAATTGAATTCCATTCTCATTGTTATCAACTTAAGAAAAAGAGTGACCGAAAAACCATTTATTTTTTTTTTTTCAGTAAGTCCTTCATGCAATCTTTGTATTGTTAATCTTTTAATAGATTCCCCATGCCAAGATTAATTGTCAGCGGATCTAGAGTTTGGACAAAGCAGCATATGGTGATGAAGATCTCTGTGGAAGTTGCAAAGGCGCCCAATCATCATCGTCTTCAACTTCACAAAAGTATGTTTCCACCATTTCTTGGCTGACTAGCTCTAGCTTTGAAGGTGTCCACTGAAAATCAATTTGTGAATGATAGATGAAATCAAAATGTAAATGGAACTGTGAAATGGATTTAAAGTCAATATTATATATATACAAAATGCAAAAAAGTTTAAATTGAAGTTTTAATCTCAACATCGGGTGACACCAATAACACCTTGACCTCGTACATAACGTTTCCAATTAGGAGCTCTCTTTTCAATTTTTATCTCACCATTAATTTTTTGTTGTTTACTTACTTAATTTGCGCATTAGCGGGCGATGTTTTGTCAAATTTTTTTTTTTTTTTGTCAGTAATATTGTTGATAGTAGTCTCAAATACTCACACTCTTCAATCTTATTTATGAATTACAGATTTAATCATATTAATGTGGTTTCAAAGAGAAATAAAAATAAGGACTTTTTTTTTTTAATTAATAAAAGAGGTTAACAGAAAGGGATTATTTAAGAATACTTCAACTTGAAAGCGATACCCTAACGTTTCGAGAAAACATCAATTTACTTATGTGCAAAAAAAAATAAAATAAATAAATAAATAAAAAAATTACGATATGTAATGGGAAATTCCATTTACCTTAGGCGGTTGACTTTTGTCAACTAGCAATGCTCTTCCACCCTGCAAGAATCAAATATTTTCACCAACTAATTAATCAACTGAAGAAAAAAGAAGTCCGATAATTCATCCGTAAGAAGAAATTTTGTTAACCTCATAATAATCACTGTTGATAGTTTTTCGCAGAACATGACAAGTCACCCTGAACTCAGCAATAAGACACTGTCGTAAACTTTGCGCTCGTCCTTCCCTAATCTTTTGAATTGCACAAAATTAATATACGTAACTAGTTAGTTTTATATATACATTCCATCCGCCTCAAAATGAAAATTTATACTCTCTCTATCCCAAAATTATTGTCCAGTCTGAGGTTTCACTTTTAGTACAATTTGAACTAAAAATGAAAACCCAAACTGGACAATAATTATGGGACGGAGGGAGTATATGTTATACAGTTTTAGATTAATAATTAATTTATTACTATTATTATTATTTTTTTTTCCAGGGTAGAGCATATACATAAAATTAAATGGAATTGAGAAGATCAATTTACCAGTCGTAGGAAAAGTTTAAGACTTGTTGGGGAAGCCGATTTCATGGACTTAATTGCATTGACAATCCATTTTTGGTGCTGATCATTTGTAGATAACTCTTCCTGGAGAGGACAAATGAATTTCATGCAATACAATATAAATAATCATATAGCACGCGCTCTTAATTAATTACCTTTTTTTTTTCATTTATCTTTGGTCGACCCAAAAACAGTACTGGAATGAATGGACTGATTTGCAAAGGAGAGTTTCTAATTAGAAATGTAACTTACCAGGGATGAGAGTATATCTTCAACCGTCTCCTTTGAAAAGCATTTGTTGATAACATCTAATCTAGTATCATTAAAACAAGAAATGAAAAAAAAAATTCAAAATAAAAATAAGATAACAAGAACAAAGCTTTTATTCTTAAAAATGGATTCCACGTTTTAATTATGGCCATCAATTTGGTATAGTTTCTTCTCTATTTATTAAGTGTAAGAAAACAAGTAAGAATAAAAAAAATGAAACAAAGATAAACTTAATTGTATTATCGTGTTGTTACCTTTCAAAGACACTATCTCTTTGGAGATGTACTTGCTGAACAAATTTATTGATGGTCTCAGAAACAGTTGAGGTTTCCAGCTTTCCAGTGGATGCTGCTAGGGAATCAAGAGCCTCTTCCATTGAAATTAAGTCCTAAATAAATGATTATGCGGTCAGCATAAGAACTAGCTAGGTTTTTTTTTTTTTTTTTTTTTTTGGCAAAATGATTTCATTTGATCATACAAACAAGGGAGAGACTTGAGAAACTTTTTTAACATGTATACATATATTTAGTTTCATTATTAATACTACAGTTTAAAAGATATAAAAATAGACTGCATTGACCTTAGAAAGGACAAAATGAGTTGCAAGACCACAAGCAACCATCTCTATCCCATTCAAACGACTCCCGGTCAAACCTAAGTATTCTCCTGCATTTCAGATAGAATCATGAATTATTTAATCTACAATATTGATCATAAACATGCTTACTTTATCCGTTATTATATTGTTTTATTTTAACAACCTGAATTTCTAATTATGAATGAATGGAATGAGTACATTTTAAACACCAATACAGGCGACTTTTGGCGTTTGGCAAAAAGGAAAAGGTGGTCTAAGAGTTATTTCCTTTGTCCCGAAATTATTGTCTCGTTTGAATTTTTATTTTTGATATAAATTAAACTAAAACTAAAAATTTAAACTGGACAATAATTTTAAAACAGATGGAGTAATTACCAAAAAACCCCGGAAGTCTAGACAAGAAATGTGATGCACCACAATCCGGAGAAAGCCCGATCGCAGCTTCCGGTGCAGCAAATTTCTGCACATAGTTTCAGTTAAACTAAAAGAAATATATTAACTATATTCTTCCTTCTCAATTTAAAAGCTCACTTCAAGTAGAAAAGTTTGATAAAAAAAATAGTACTTCTTTTTTTTCAAAATTATTGTTCTATTTAAAATTTTATTTGTATTTAATTAAAAATAAAAATTTAAACTGTACAAATATTTTATGATGGAGAGAATATTAAAATGGGACAGACTAGTTGTTTGCGTGGTAAAACACATAAAGAAGTAATGAAATTGCAATCATTGTTGACAGGGAAGGAAAGCAAACAAAAGAAAAAGGATAAACTGAAGATTACGGTTTTTTCCGTGACAATCCGGAAATTTGACTGCATGGTTAAGCCAGCACCTCCTCCCATCACGATTCCGTCCACTATGGAAACCTAAAAAATAGTGACAAAAATACGTAAATTTTCACTTAATTTAAATTGCCTACAAATATTACGTACTATTATTTTTGTCCCAAAAAAATAATCCACTTTGAACGCTAAGTTTTGTACTGTTTTTAGTACAAATTTAAGAATTCAATGTAGACTATTTTTCTGGAATGGAGGTAATACAATATTACCTGAAAGAGACAAAAACTCAAACTACAATATTACGTGAATGATAAACATTGATAATAACGCATTCCAACTACGGACAACTACGACTTTTTCTATTCATTTTTGAGATGGATACATGGAAACATTCCGTGATAATAAAAAGACAAAAAGGAGATTTTTCTCACCACTGGTTTATGATATGTCGCAAGTACGTAGTCGAGATTCAGTTGTCTCCTGTAGTAGCTAGCACCATAACTCCAGTGCCCTAATATATACATCCATCATCATACATCCATCATCATATCAAATTGTTTCCATATTCTTCTCAATCTAATTGTTAACTGGTTTGTTGATTTGTGCTTAGATTTTGGTTCAGGAAAGGGTATATTAGGTTGGATCTCGAAGTTACATTGGGTCTGAATTATATTTTTTACCCGTTCAAGCAGTTTTTTTTTCTTTTTTTTTTTTGTCTTCCCTTTATACATATAAAAACTAGTTAGGACGACACTTAATGGACATGTCCAGATCAGTAGCGGAGGGAGGGGGACCAGTAGGGCAGCCGCCCCCCCTCCCCCCAAAAAAATTTACAAGGAAGTAAATTGTTTTTTTTTTCCCTAGAAATTTGTTCTTATAATTTTAGAAAATTTTCATTTTTTGCCACTGTACTTTTTTTTTGGTTGCATTTTGTTCCTAATTACTACAAATTCTAGCTCCGGCACTGGTCCTGATATTACTATTAATCATGAAAAATGTTAGACCAAGTCAAACGCAATGCTTAGTAATACACACCCAAACCAATGCCAATTAAGGAGTCGTATTGATGGTGGACTCGCTTATTTATTTTCTGTAATTAGCTCCACTACTTACTCCCTTCATTTCAAAATGTGAGTTACTTTAGGCTTTGCATGTAAACTAAAGAAATAATCATCTAACAATTAATATATGTGTTAAACATATTTTACTTCTCATTAATTATATTGAAACTATAAACAAAACTAAATGAGAATCTATTAGCATTAATTATTGAGGGTAAAGTTAGAAAAATAGTCATTAAACTGCCTAGAATTTGTAAAATGATCTACATTTTGAAAAATCTCTCCAAACCTAAAATGAATTACAAAATTGAAATGGAGGGAATACCTTGAACAAGATAACTCATTGCAGATTTAACGTCACCACCAGCACAGAAAGCTCTTCCATTTCCCTGCAGATCCAAAGGAGAACAATCTAATTTTATGTGTTCACACGAATTTATCGTCAGAAAACGTGCAGCAAGATGTGTCCTAACTTTCACATTAAAAAGACTGTCTCAAGCCTCCACATAGAAATTACCTTTAAAACCACAAATTTGATGCTCGGATCCTCTTCAAAAGCTCGTAGTCGTCTTAGCATCTGGGACATCTGTGCATCAAAAAAAAAGTTGCAATATTGCCCCGATCAAGTGTGAAATGAGCTTAGGCTTAGACCGGAAAATACATATTCCATCCGTCCCATAATTGTTGTCCAGTCATGGATTTTTATTTTTAATTCAAATTGTACAAAAAATGAAATCTCAAACTGGACAATAATTTTAGGACAGAGGAGGTACTATGAAATGGATAGAGTGGTCATTGCATACCATTTCATATGTTAAGGTATTGAGTTGCTTGGGTCGGTTCAAGATGACCTTCCTCACACCTTTCTTTTCTTCGAATATCACCTAATAAGATTTTGGAGATCGATCGATCACATTAGGTGGTTATAACAACCCTTTTCACATATAAAACCAAACCACTCTTATTAACTTTGCTAACGAGTACGGCCGGATTAACACCTGCCGGTGCCATTGAATAACTGTTAACCAAAAAATAAGTGACCGGCTTAACTAAAAACTTACCAAACACTACCTGAAATATAGGAGATGGCATCAAATTAATGCTTAAAACAATTTTAGCATTAAACAAACTTGAAACTTGATTAATAAGATCGTGATGGATGAAGGGAGAGGAAATTAATCAACAAGAATTTAGCACAGAGTACCTCACTGTAGGGATCCATGCTCACGGAGGTTGACATATGATAGAATATGATTGTTTCTTTGCTGCTTAATTAATCTGTGCCTAATATATGCAGCTCCTCTTTTGTCGCAGAACCAAGTAAAAGGCTGCTTTCCCAGCTTCGAAGGAACTTGCATAAAATGAGCTCATTGGCTTAGTTGTATCCTGCCTCAGTTTTAATTGAACATATTCTAAAATGATTTAACTTATTATTTTACATGGGTGAGAGAAACAAGATAACTTACAAATAGGGAGAAAGGGAAAATTTCAATGCCTATTACCGTTGTTGTGTAATCTTTGGGATTCATGCCTTTTTTATAATAATCAAAAGAAAAGTCCACCAGTTATTTGCTTGACTGGCGTGTTTGCCGTGATTAGTTAGCCCTTCTTACACATCGATGTATTTTATTTAGGGGTGTAGCCAATTCTTTAATATCTATCTTCTCTTAAATTACTTACTAGTTGTACTACCGTCATTCACTTTTATTTGTCATTTTATGTTTTACACAACTATTAAGAAATCAATGTTTGAAACTTTATTTTTTAAATGTATTATCTTTTTTGGCCCTAATTAAAAGTATTACTAGAACTCTATAAAGAGTAAAAAAAAAGGTAACTGTCATTAATATATGTTATTAAAAATACAGAGAAATAAGAATAATTTATATTTAATGTTACATTGTTGAACATATAATGTGATAGATTAAAAAAAATATTTGAGTCAATCATAAACGACATATAACTTCCTAAAGGTTTTATAAATGAGGGCCCTTGTTTTCTCGAGCCAAGAAAATTTTTGTAACAAGTCAATAACCAAAAGGTTGACACGAAACATACTAGCAATAACTGACACTGCAAGATTCACAACAAATTGAGCAATTTTATTTTAAAAAACAATTTGCCTCTTTTTCTACTTTTTGATCTTATCCACTCGATCTATTATCTCAACATAATTTAAAGTCATCATATTAAAAATATTGCATAATTGATTGCCCGCGCCAGAGGCAAAGAAAATCAAGTAGTTTTTTATCATTCATTTTCTGACAAATTATTTACACAATCTTCCGCGATGCTACATTGATTACGATACTTTACCTATCCTACCCAGGCAAATAATTTTAAGCTCCTAGGTACACCTTGCAAGGTGTATCTAGACAGTGCGTGTATAACAAATTTGGGAGAAAAAAGTGATCATTTTAGTCATGATTTTTAGTTCCCACACGCGCATTTAATCACTCAATTTTATCCCCATTTTTTTGGCATTTAATCCCCATAATTTTATCCTTTTTTTTTGGTATTTAACTCCATGATCTTATCCCCCTTTTTTTAACACACGTTTAATTTAAACCTTTTTTTTTTTGCTTATCATGTTAGCTTTTATATTATTTTATTATATGAGTTAATTTTTTTATAACGATGGATTTTATTTTAGTAAAATTGACTATGTTAATCATTGAGACTTATGAATATGAAGAATCAATGTGTATTTTTTCAGTAATGAATAACCAACGTTTAGACAATGAATACTGTTATACAATTATTGAAAGATGATTGATGTAGAATGTATTCGTTTTATTGGTGAAGATACATGTGTAAGGTAATGCGCAATATATGGTTACTGATGAACATGAATTTCATTGTTGTTTTTTGACAGATGGTGTATCATCTTGTTCAGATTTACGATGATTATCTTATTTTAAGTAATGAATAACAAGTTGTTATTGATGAATAACAGATGATGTGCTTATTGGATGATGTTTCAACTCTGAGGAAAAGACTTTTGGTGCTTATACTATCAACGTTATGGACGTGATGAACAATGATGTTATTATAGTGACAACGTTATGGACGAATAAATTTAAATTTTGTAATGAATAACTATATTCACAAAAATGAATAACGATGCAAACCTGACGAATAATGATCTCATCCTAAATGAATAACAATATTACAATGAAGAATAGTTGTAGTTTTAAAAGATGAATAATTGTACTTTAATGAATAACTAAGTGAAAATAATGAATAACTAGAATACAAGATGAATAAACATTTCACCAGAAGAAAAAAACATGACTAAAATAACCCAAAATTGATGATGAATAATGATATCGGATGATGAATAAACGCCAGAAATAGATAATGATGTAAAATTCTGATTTCCAAAATCAACCACAAATCGATGAACAAGACTAGAACATCGATAAACTAACATGTTTTAAACATAAATAATGATATTAAACTGATAAACAAAGCCTAGATCTATTAATTTTTCCAAAATCAACCACAGATCGATGAACAAAACTAAGAAATTGATGAACTAACATCATTAATCGATGATGAATAATGAATAATATTTCACAGAAGAAGAAAACATGATTAAAACAACCACTCATTGATGATGAATAATGATTCCAAGATGATGAATAATGCCAGATCTGTTAATATTTTCTGAAATCAACCACAAATCGATGACAAAGACTAGAACATCGATGAACTAATATGTTTTAAAGATGAATAATGACATTAAACTAATGAACAATACCTAGATCTATTAATCTTTTCTTCTTTACACAACAGATCTGAATCCATAAGCCTCCGGCGATTCACTAAATCTGAATTTTGTTCTTTTTCACAACAAATCTGAATCCATAAACCTTCAACGATTTATCGAACGAGCTTGAACTGGCAAATCTGAATAGCGAAACAAAGATTTATAGAATTCCAAACAAGATTTAGCGGACAAATTTTATTTTTAAGAGATAGATTTTAGAAACAACCACACAAAAGGGATGAATAACATGATTTTTTACCGTAATACTCAGCAACGTGATGCAAAATCCCAGTTTTGTCTACACAAATTTGATTTCGTCTTTAAGAGTACCGTCGACGTGAGAATTTGGTATATCAAAATGATGCAAAATAAAAAATATCTAAGATTATGGTTGCAGATAGAATGGATGGAATGGTATCATAAATGGCGGATAATTAGGGTGAATAATCGGTTATGGAAATTTGGAAATAAAAAATCCCATAAAAAAGGGATAATAAATAGTAGTTTCAGAATTTTTGAGATTATGGGCGCGTGTATTTCACACTAGGTACACATTGTTAGGTGTACCTAGGATCCCTATATTATAACTATCCTACCCATGCTTTCTGCCACTGCTCCTTTAATCAAAGTTCATAAAATTTCATGGGTCTCAATGATCGATAGAAGCAACTCTCTGGCTTATTGACATATTTAAGAATTACATTGGCATAAACCCTAATGATAATGAGTAAAATTAAAAATCAATATTCATAAACCATTTGTAAAAGGTAGAAATTATCAGAAATATATATTCTTATTAATTAAATTTCAAATTTATTGCGTTCTCAATTTTGCAAGTTTAATTTGGTGCAAGTTAGAAGGCAAAGTAGCATTGGTAGCAGCTAAATGTATTGGCGCTTGGGATTTCGTCAACCACGGAGCCGAAGTAGTGTGTGTTGACGGACATCAACGAAAGATCTGGTCAATCCATCTGCGACAAATGAGGTCTCGAAAATGCTGCGTTGATCAGTGACGGAGCCAGGATTTATAGAATGGAGGGGCAAAAATGTATAAATTTTATTTAGTAAGGACGAAAATATAAAAATCTAGAAATTTGTACTAAATTTTTAAAAAGTTTTTGGGAAAAAATTTGGGCAGGGGGGGGACCGCCCCTAGTGGTCCCCCTGGCTCAGCCACTGGCGGTGATGTCATCCTGGAAATTTTTCAAGATGGATGAAGATGGGCACTCAAAAGTATATACAAATCTCAAAGGGATGATTCTCGAGGCGGAAGATTTAGCCAATTGATGCGGCGGTTTTCCTGGCTAGTGATGAAGGTCGGTTCATGAATGGGCACGATCTTATTATGCTTGATGGAGGATTTACCGTCACTAATTCTACGGTTTGGGTTGTTTTCCCGAGTTTCAGGATCCTTCCTTCGTACACTGTAATTTGCTTAGTTTTTATGGTTGGAATATTGAAACATCATGTTTGTACTTTCTTTGTCCTAAAAAAATTATTGTCTTATTTGCATTTTCAGTTTTAGTACAATTTGAACTAAAAATAAATTTCAATCTGGATAATTATTTCGTGACGTAGAAACTATATATGTGTTTGGATCAATTCACGAGGATGATGTTATTCTAGTAGTGATTGGAGTGCTCCGTGGATATTGTTAAATGAATGAAAAGAAAGAAATTACCTCATGTTCCCTTGTCCCACATGGATGGATGAAGACTCTTGAACTCAACATATATATCCCATGTGCTACTCCCCTCATTGCCAATTGGTTTTGAGGTGGAACCACACGTGGGCCTATATTTGGGCCTTCAAGATGGTATCAGCGCGGGTTTTAATCCGCGGACCTGTGGGACTTGTGGTGCGAGGTGGACTGACCCAGATTAGGTCTTGAAACTTTTGTCAACCCAAGGAAGAAATCCGAGGTTTAACTTTAAACTTTGACTGGCCCGGCAGACGACGGTTTATCCGGAAAAATAACCGATCGCAAGAATGAAAAAAAATATAAAATTGCTCGTCCAAGCCCATTGGACTTGAGAGGGGCATGTTAAATGAATGAAAAGAAAGAAATTACCTCATGTTCTCTTGTCCTACATGGATGGATGAAGACTCTTGAACTCAACATATATACCCCATGTGCTACTCCCCTCATTGCCAATTGGTTTTGAGGTGGGAACCATATGTGGGTCTATATTTGGCCTTAAAGAGATATATCATTCTAGTGACTGAATTTACTGGGGCTGTCTCATAATAAGAGAGTTCACTTAAACCAAGTACCACTTTTTGTAAGATACAAAATCTATCATAATTTCTACATTTGGTTCTAGCACCATCGTATACCACAAATACTTCAGTTTCCCAAAACAAAAATGTTCTTAAGGCTAACCATTTCGAAACAAGATAATAAATCAATTAATAAGCATAGAAGGGGAGCATATGGTATACAATCGCACTCCACTTTTTTCGACTTATTAATTTTCTGGAGATTGGGCAATCAGTTTTTAACTCTCTTTCGAAAAAGAACGAAAGACGTATTGCTGCTACTTAGTGTTTTTACCATTGCCAGAGATGAAGACGATGATATAAGAAAACAGTTGCTTTGGAAAATAGCAATTATCCTTGTAAATTGGGAAAAATTGGTATTTCCGTCCAAATAATGTTTGGGCAAACTATAAAATTATATCGATCTAATTAAGGCGAGACAGTATGAAATTTTATACGTGACCGA